ATTCCTTCCTTCCTCAGTGACTCGAAAGCCCAGTGTGGGCCTTGGCCTTCTCAAGAAGCCTTTTCCAGGCTAGCCTTCTTCCTGCCAGTGTTATCCAATTCTTATTTCTCAAAACTAGGAGATCTTTTTCTATGCCATCAATCCATCTAAGATTAGGCCTGCCCTTTCTTCGTGTGCCAATTGGTTGGGCATTGAAGACTTTTTTAGTGGTGCTATCTTCGTCCATTCTTACAACGTGGCATGCCCATTTAATTCGTTTAATTGATCCCCATTGCATTTTGATGAAGTTAACGATGTCAGATTCTTTATATGATTGATAGAGCTCGAAATTTTATCTCCTTCGCCACGTTCCATTTTCCTGGACTCCTCCAAAAATAAATCTTAAGATCTTCCTTTCGTAGATGCTTATCATGTTCTCATCTGTTCGAGGCATGGACCAAGTTTCACATGCACTAATCTTAAGACTTTTATGCAATAGAATCTTTGTTTTTCTTTTGGTTAAATTCGATTTTCGTATTCTATTAAGACATCTATTAGCCATAGTAATTCTCTTTTGGATTTCAGTAGTACAATCGTTTCTATTATTAATTTCTGACAACAGCTACAAAATTATACTCTTCAATTTTAAAGTGGGAATTCTTAAAACAAGATTTAGTGCATGGCATGTACTTGATCTTATTCTCATTGATTTTCAGTCCCATTCTGAGGGCCTCTTTCTCTAAAGACAAGAAGGCTTGTCTTAATGCGGTGGGTGTTCGTGTAATGATATCAATGTCATCAGCAAAAGCCAACAATTGTGCTGATTTTCTGGTATTGATATTGGAATCTCTTACAACTTTTTCCAATACTAGATTAAAGAGGAGACATGCTAGTGCATCTCCCTGTCGAACGCCATTTTTTATTTCCAATGGGTCCGAAAGATCATTCTGCATCTTGATTAAGATCTTTGTTTCACTTAATGTCAGGCTTATTAGTCTTAATAACTTATCAGGGATTTTAAACTCTTCCATGGCTGCAATAAGAGCCTTTCTGTTGATGCTATCATAAATGGTTTTAAAATCAATAAAGAGGTGATGCGTATCAATTCTAAATTCCCTTGTTTTCCCCAAAATCTGATGGATGTTGAATATCTGCTCTGTTGGGGATCTTCCCTTCCGAATTCCATTTTGGTAGTCTCCTACTGTAATTTCAACTTTTAATTACTCTAATAAAAAGCCAATCAATTCTAACCTACTTTAAATGCTTATAATGAAAAATACCGTAAAATCCGGCGTATAAAGCGCATCTATACTTTTAAATCCCATTTGTAATTTCTAGGTATATTCGCTGTATAACGCGTACCCTCTTTTTCAAGAGGAAACCCGGAATGTACGTGTGCAATGCTCTTCTGTTTTGAAGTAATTTATTCGAATTATACACACATTGCGTGATGGGAAATTGTGTGGATAGCGATTTACCATCTAACTTATCTTTTTATCATCAAATATAATTGAGAATCATTTTAAAAAATACAATGTGATATATTGATTAGAATTCGGATTAAATTGAAGGAACCTGATATAATGTTTTGTGATTTATTTCCTTTAATTATTATGTATTTTGAGGTGATAGCATGTAACATATCATGGAGGCGGTGTCATTTCTCAATATCTTAAACCTAGTTGCTCCGCTTCAAGGTCGTTTCAAAATTACCTTGAAAGTATCCAGCATATTATCATTTATCTAAATTTAAAAATTGAGCACCTTAACTCGAAAGCCCATTTGAAAAATGGATACTCTCTGTCCTTATATTTTTATTCTTATTTATATCTTCTAATAAATGTAGTGATTTAATTTTTAAGTCGATAAAAGTGGAGAAATTGGTAAATCTAATTTATTTATGGAAGAATTGTGGTGAAAGAGCTTTCAGATGTATAATGTATACAGTCGAATCTCTAAATTGCGAATTTTTCGATGTAATACACTTTTCCGTGGAATCGAGAACATTTCACGATTTTCTTCGTAAAATTCGTTCGATTTTCTTTCAATAGCGAAGTGCATTTTCTATATAGCGAACTCTTTCTCTTGTGTGATTCACTTTTTTTCTCCCTATTTTTAAAGTATTTCTGGACATTTCAAGTTGTTCTCTCTTTCAACACATTTTATGATGGTCGTAAATGTAGAATCGGTTTTATTAAGTGCCTAACTCACCGAGAGCAATATAATTCTGGGCGTTTCATCCAAGAAGTGCAACCCTTAACCCCCATTGTCCAGTTTACTGGAAGCATCTTCGATTTCCCCTTTCACCCTCAATGGAATTGTCTGGTGTCCCCGTGTCCTAGAACTAGTCTCCTTTCATTTGCAGTGTTGATCAGTCTTACTGGTAACTTCGTTTCTTGTAGCCCGAAAATGTCAAAGCGTAAATGCTTCAGCATCAAAGAAAAAATTTTAACTCTCCATAAGTGGACAAAGGCATCAAGAAACTTTCCTTCGAGTTTTTCTTACTTTCTTTTTTTGATAGGTAAGATCACGTCATCCTCCATCGCTGCCATTTTAACGCTCAATTTTTCATGTAGCGAACTTTTTTTTCGGGATTTAGCGACTTCGTTATATTGAGGTTCGACTGTTTTTGAAATTGCAATAGAATAGTCATTATCACTATAAATATATGCATTTAAAGCCATTTATGATTTCTCTTTCATTGTTCAATGTACAGGGTGAACCAAAAATATTGCACTGATTATAAAAATTCATTACAAAACAACAGTCTAATATAACAATGTAACTTTTGTATCACTGAATAAGTCAGTTTTAGTAATTTTTATGTAAAATAGATGACAGGAGGGCTCCTGCAAGAGTGACTCGGGAGAACGTTTGTTTGGAAGACATTTTCGGCCGAAATGGCGTCGATTCAAGAGAAAGCCTAATAGGTACTTTTGTTTCACGAAACGAATTTGCCCGTTAATGTTCAGCGTAACTTTCGACACTGTTCTGGACGCAACTCTCCTGATGAAAAGCGAATGTTTAAAAACACAGGCAGTGTAATAGAGGACACGTTATAGAACACATGTTGGAAAACTGGAATACCACACCATATAGACATTCTCCGTGATACAAAGGGGGCACACATTTTGCAATTTACTGAGGTAAATAATCTTATGAAAAAATTCATAAGTGTACTTACTGTATATTCGAACTAACATATATCTAATTATAATAGTTCAAGCGCAAGACTTATGGTTCACCCTATAATTTTTCGTTAAAAATGTCATCATGCTTACTATCCAAATAATAAAAACATTTTTATTTGGAAAAATTTTGGAGCACTATGTATAAATATTTTTACATCTTCTTCTTCAATATCTACTATTAGTTCATACTCTCCCTATATATATATATACACTGCTGGCCACCGTAAATGCAACACCAAGAAAGACAAGAGTTAGCACAACAAAATTTATTTTGTAGATAACATGTTGACCAAGTATCAAATGATTAAATTTATAGACTTCTGTGAAGTGTGGTTCCTGCCAGAATCAGTAGCCAGAGTAGCCGCTATTGTTGGAGATCACCGCTGCCACGCGCCTCGGTATTGATTCAAAGAAACTTTGGATGTGTTCTTGGGGTATAGCAGACCAAGAAGCTTTCACACTTTGCCGAAGTTGATCTGGTGTGGCAGCTGGGGGTGTAATCTGGGTCAATCGTTGAGCAACCATGGATCCCATGTTTTCTATCGGTGAAAGATCCGGAGAGCGAGCCGGCCAATGAAGCAATTAAATCTGGTGATTGACGAAGAACCTTTGGACAATGCGTGCCACGTGTGGTCGCGCATTATCCTGTTGAAATATGGCTGTGGCCAAGCCCTGAAGGTAAAAAAGGACAACTTGCTCCAACACCTCGGAGATGTAGCGCTAGCTGTTTAAAGTACCGGCAATGCGTACTAGAGGAGGGCGAGAGTAATATCCAATACCGCCCCATATCATAATACCCGGTGCAGGACCAGTGTGGCGGTGCATAATGCAGCTGTTTAGCATCCTCTTTCCACGGTGTCTCCAGACTTGAATTCGACCATCGTGGTGTTGCAGACAGATGCGTGACTCGTTAGTAAAGACAACTTCATTCCATTCTGCCGCCCACGTCCTTCTTTCATCGCACCATTGGCGGCGGAGACTTCTGTGGTTTTGCGTCACGGGTAGACCAAGCAATGGACGTCTTGCGGGCAGACCACTCTGCTGTAAACGGCGTCGAATGGTACGCGTAGACTCTGAATGATGCATTACAGAGTCAATGCGCTGTGCTATGGTTCGTGATGTGACTGAGCGATCCGTCACTGCCATGCGCACCATTTGCCTGTCCTCACGTGAAGTGGTGCACTGAGGTGGATGCGATCGACCACGTCGGTCCGTCGTACCCTCCTGCATCCAACGATCACATATACGCATTACATTTGTTTGGTTTCGTCCAACACGACTACCGATTTCCGTGAAAGATAATCCACAATCTAGGTAGGCCACTATCCTTCCTCTGTTGAACTCGGATACTTGATCAAAAGCTGATCGCTATTTTCTACGAGACATAACTGATCGTTTTTTGAAAAAACCACAAGAAAAACACAATTGCCGAACTTGAAATCGTCGAAATTTCTAAGCCTTAAATAGTGCTTTGAGGTGGCGCCACAGGCGTGCGTGATGTGTGTCTGCGCTGAAATTCTAATCATTTGCATATCTCTCCTCTAATACCTGTTGTAAATTTCATGTTATTTGCGTGCTTTCTTTAGGGTGTTGCATTTACGGTGGCCAGCAGTGTATATATAGTTCAAATTTTAATCATAATAAAATACTTTTTATTCATCCACTCAGGCTCAAATAAATTTTTTTTGAACTTTTATTGGAGGACACTTGATGTTAATACAGTTTTTTTTTAAAATATTAATTCAATAATTAAGTTGAATTCATGAATAAATAGTAACAAACAAAAATAACAGTCTAATACTATATATAGAATGGGAAACCGCTCATTGTGCCCCTGTAGCGCAACGAATAGCGCATTGGATTTTTAACCCAAAGGGCGTGGGTGTTCGAATCCCACCTGGGATGGCCTAATTTCTGAGAATGTGCTTTCTTTTTACTATGCTATTTTATACGAATAATTAAATTTAATGAATGAATAAATTGTTACCAACAAAAAAATAGTCCAACACCCTATATAGAAAGGAAAATTGCAAAGAAAATCGCTTTGTATTTTGTCACTTAATATCGTGATTCTGTGTCATATGTATATACATATTTATATTAATTGTAACTATTTATTAAAAAGTAACTAAAATAAAATTTTCTTTGACCTAAATAGGAATTGATTTAAATTCTTTTTTTATATTACTTGTTTTCTACATACTTATGAATAACATTGAATTCAAAACCTGTAATGTAATATGTATGGTTAAATCTTCTACATCAAGTGTGCCAAACTCAAAAGGCTAACTTGGCGCAAGCAAAACAAGATTCGACTTTAGGTAGGCCGCAAAACAAATCAATATTCATAGAAACGTTAATTTATTTCGAGTAATACATTATAATAAACTTATATAAAAGAACAAGAAAAATTTAATATTTACGTCGTGGCACCTGACATCTCTTCTCTGCTACTATCTTTTTATTTCGGGAGAACATTTGATATTTTATTATATATTAATGTGTGCCAATATACTGGCCGGGCCACAAAATTATTCGTTTTATGCCGTGAGTTTTACACCTCTGTTCTACATCTAAATGTAATCAATCTATTAGCTTGTTTAATCATAAGAATCTTGCCATCATTTAATCAGTATTATTGGATTCTATTCCTATTAGTGATTTAATCTTGATAAATTACTGTAAGCAGATTATTTTCAATCGATAAGATATCTTTAAACTGTCTAATCCATGCATATGAGATTAATCTGATTCCTTTCTAATTTAGGTCGAGATTATCGAACAAACTGACTTTAATTATAGGTTGAATTTGGAAAAGAACAAACGTTGTTTGTTTTTTTACTCCTGCATCTCTGTTTTAAAATACCAAAGTTTTCTTTTCTTTTTTAATAGCTAAAATATTACAAAATTGATTTCCTTTCTGTTTTTGATACTTTATTTTAAAAATATTAAAAACGTTTTTATTGACTTTCGCATAAAAAAATTAATTCCGTTTTGTTCTGTCTGAACCTTAATAGATTTTGGAATATTTTTAAAAGCGATATGGTTAAATGTTGCACTAGAGCTGCAATATGCATTAAGTTATTGATACTAATTTATTTTTTCATAATTTATTTGGATGACGATTAATTATTCATTTTATTGGAGGATTTAGTCAGAGAAAAATTCCTGTTTTTCTATTCGTATATTGTTGATTGAAATTTAAATATATTTTTATAGCACCTATACGGAAACACCTATAATTTTATCCAAGATATTTTTTTATCTTTCAGGGTCTTGGTCGACAGATTCCACTAGTACGGGTTCCACTACAATCCTTGTAAGTTCTCTGAATTCTGATGACACATCGGCTTCTGATGGTGGTAAGTGAAATTCTTTATTTAAAATGATAATAATAATTTTGTCAGCTATATTTGTTTACACGTTTTTTCCAACAGTCTTTTGGAAAACTTCGTATTCTTTTTGCGTTAGGGAACCGTATTATCTTTGGGGAAAAAGCAATTGAGAAAAGTAATGAATAGAATCTAAGACATGCCCCCCCCCCTCTCCTCGAACAACTGAGAAGTTATTTGAATAGCTGTCTAACTTTAATTAAGTTTAGCAATTATGTAGTTATTTACCTGGTGCCACAAACTTTTGGAATGAACAAGTGAAATTAAAGTACATGACAAGACGAGAGATCTTTGCTTTCAGACCTTTTTTTCAAAAACTGTTCATAGTATCAAAAATATAACAGGTAAAATAGGTCAGTTATAAAAAAAAAGTTTCGAAACAGAACTGATAGATCTCTGGACATATTTCGATACTAATTATGAGATCTTCAGCAGTAGATTAGGCATAGTGACTTGGCCTCCACCCTCAGTGGATTTGAATCCATCGGAATTTTTCTGGGTATAAATGGAGCAGTTTGTTTACAAAACTCCTGTAGATTTCATAGAAGATAATGTTGAGTGAATTTCAGTTGCTGCAGATAAATCAACAGTACGCCAAGGTTCTTACAAAAAGTGCAAAAATCGTTCTCGTGACTGATGTGGGATGTTCAACAAAGCTCTCGGAAGGCACTTAAAGCTGTTTCTTCAAACACTTTGCAAAAAGAAAATTGTAAAGACGAGTAAAATGTCAACATGCATGGGTTACTTGAATCCCTTTTTTCACTTATATTAATCAATGTTGAAAATATTTTCCGTTTCTCCAACGCAAGTGATAAAGTCGCCAAGAATGATACAACCGATGACAAATGGAATATTACCGCTGGTTACCTTTCACCACCACATTTTCAAAACAAGTCGCGTAGTATTTTCTTACTAGTGACTTCTTTTTCATAATACATAAAAAATGGACGATAAACCAATGTGAATATTACAGGAGATGCGTAAGCCGATTGAATTTGTACGATGGTGCCTTCTCGTAACATTTTGTTGATATGGTACTCAATGATACCTTGCTTAAACCTGTCATACTTATACGGTCTGGATACAACCGGAGCGCTATCACCCATATCGATTTCATGATATAATACATGAGTAAACTAATCTTTACAAAAACTTTTTGTGCGCATATTGTGTGTTGTCGCCAGTAACGCCTGCTTGGCGAGATTTTCCCGACGAAACGAAAAAATACCAACATTTTTGTATTTACTTGTATTACGATCTTAGAGTTTTGTTGCCAATGTTATTCGTCTTGTTGCGTCCTAAATTTTTTTTAAATGTTTATGCTTTGCAATCTGTATTAGATTTAATCAGGTAAACTACTAATAAAAAAAACTCGTTGTTTTATAAAATAGTATACGTGAGTTTCGTAAGCACTTAGTCGTATTCGTAAAAGAGGCAATATAAAATAGATTGTCAAATTTAGTGAATAATGATACATTTTTGTGGATAATGGTTTGAAATACTCTAAGATGATTAATCAATTACGCGTTTTTTATAGTAATATAATCATAATTTTGTCTTAAAATATTGCTGGGTTTTTCCTTACTGCTTTGGTTCGTCTTTGAGTGTTATAATTTATGAATAAAAAGTTTTAGAAGACAAAAGATTATTGGAATTTTGCTTAGTTCTCTGGTTGTAATGCTGATTGAAATCAAGATGATTCTTCTGTTTTATGAATAAATTTCAACTAAGTAAGAGATACAGTCAAAGAATTGAAATTCTTTATCAAAGGTAAACAATTAACTCATACCCTCTGGCGTAATTAGTCTTAAGTGGGCCCTGTATCAAAATTCCTTTGGGGCCCCTTTCTGGAAATACATAAAAATTATCCCATTAATAAAACTTATTTGATCGTGTCAAAATATTACACATGTTGGGCCCCCTGTATCACTGATACGGTGGTAGCTACGCCCCTGCTCATATTTTTAACATTGCGATAAATTTCCTAACATAACACCCTTTTTTTCCACTAAAAGATTTCTTAAATTTAGAAGATAGCTCTTCGGCAATGAACAGGCTGATAACCTTGCCAAGGAGGCCCGAAATTCCCCTAAACTTTCCAATAACCTTACCGATGCTGATGCAATAGTCAGACGTAAACTCACCTCCCAAACAGTCAAGAAGCATTTCATTCCAGATCTTAATTGTAATTTCAACCCCCACAGCCAGATTGCGTGCCTGTTACTTTAAAGCAGCGATACTCAACCTGCGACCCACCGAGCCTTTTTTAAGTGGCCCGGTCATGGCCCATTGCTCTGAGAAATTCTCTAACATTGTATTTGTTAAAAATTTGGGGAGAAATTCTTTGTCACGAAATCAAATATCCTAATTTTGCATTTCTGTGGGTGTCGTACGGGTATGAATTGATATTTTTTTCTTTTTGGAAGGGTTACGGTTAGTGATAACAAACAACAGTGGAGTAGCAACAATTTTATAGGTGAAGCTAATTCTTAACTATCTTTCATACTTTGCAAGCGAAAGTTATTCGAAGAAAATATATCATTTCAAGACGATTGGAAGGCTGACTATTTTGTAGTGAAAAACAAACATTGATCAGTAATTGTTTGATTAGTCACGAGAGTGCTGTATTTAAAAAATACCAATAAACAGGAATCATTCAATGACACTTTTCCTCGAAGATATCTTTCAAGAGGAACAGCAACAAAGTGTTTTGTCAGTCACAGGGGTAACAAAGACATTCTATGAATATGTTATAGTATTGGTAATCTATGTAACTGTTTGCTGATGCAGAAATTATGAAGGAGTGTTTTTTAATTTAGGGTTAGTGACGAAAATAAAAAAAATTATTAAAAAAAGCAAAACATGTGTTATAATATTTTGATCAATTTTTCACTTGTTAAATTTCCAATGTTATCTTGATCTTAAAGCACTTCTCTCCCCCAATTATCTTCATGTTGCAGCCCGCGTGAAATAGCTGACATATGTATGCGGCCCAGCATACATATGTCACATGTAAAAGTTGAGTACCCCTGCTTTTAAAGGGATGGAAATATTACCTGATGGCCAAAGTAGTTACAATACTTGTCCTCACTGTCTTGACATTCATCTTTCTCCAAGTCATATTTCTAATTTCCTTCTATATTGGCTAAACTCCACAACATAGACGTAAACCCCTCGGACCATCAACTGCTTTATTCTCCAAAGGTCGTCGACATTGCAAGGGCTGTTTTGGACGCCTTCGGCGCCATTTGATTTCTCTACACTACGTGGATAAGACAACAACAGAAGAATGTGTTAAGGCCGCCTTTACCATTTGTATTTTTTTTTGTCAATTTGGCGAGCGCCAAGGCCCTTCATTTGGGTTGTAAGAAAGAATTTGTCGGGAAATGTCAGTTGTAATTCAGGCTACGTGCCTAGCAGACGTACGGTCTCGAATCATTAAAGTTTTTTAGAAAATACAGTCCAGCGTTGTTTATTTAGTTAAATTTATTTGTGTCTCTCCAGAATGCTCAT